GAACACCCTGAGGCACAGAGAAGAGCTTCGCCAGAAACCATCTGTCGATTTTGGTGAGCTGGTAGACCTGCCATAGTCTGCTCTGCCAGCAAGATGTTGTTTCGAAATGCGAGTGACTTTCCCTCGCCTGCTCCACAGAGTAGTTCTTCTCGAAGGCATGCGCAAGCGCGCACATCCGCAGCCTTCGGAGAAGGCTCAACAAACAACCTTCATCAGATCAACCTCAGCCTCTAAATGCCTCTAATGCTCTATGCAGCAGGTCCAGGCCGTCAGGGCAGATTGCGGGACACTCCTGAGGGCGTGGCGGTCCTGGATATCGCAATTCCTCCTCGATGTTGCCGTCTTTCGATACAGCTGCTGAAGACCGCGCACGCAAGTACCTGAAGAGGGCTGAAAAACGTCTTACCCAAATCTGGCTCTCTGCGCTGCTTCGGTTCGGGGTCTGGCCAATTCCCATCAAAGCCGACGGATCCTTCGTTGACCATGCGCAATGCCTACCAGGGCGGTTCGAGTAAAACTTGACTAAGGCTCTTGTCACTCTCGTCGCATGCCACAACCCCGACCCCCGATGCGCCGTGCCTTCTGAATTGCCTCAGGGAAAGACCGTGCAATGGACATGACCTCGCCAACGCTCTTCATCTGCGTCCCCAGAGTGCGCTCCACAGTGGGGAACTTGTCAATATCCCAGCGAGGGATCTGTCAGATTGAAAAACGCTGATGAGTGAGCTTCTTCGTGCAAAACCCTGTCACACTCTCACAACACTAGTGCATGGCCTTCACAACACAGTAGTCCAAGGAGGGCTCAAAGCACGCAGTTGTTGAGCGTGTAACTTGATTCCTCAAGCTCACGAGATCGTGACCTGAGTGGGCATCCAAGGACGAAGCGCAAAAGCTTTCTTTCCTACCTCCTGGGTCAAATCTACTGTGCAGTCTTCTCGGGTGGACTTTGATGCAAGGCGCCGAGGGCAAGCTTGGCAGCAACATAAGCAAGCGGATACCCAGTTGCCTCTCCATCGGCTGTGCCGCATGTGTTTGCTCAAAGCTCGCTGGCTTAGTGCCTTGGAGGCAAGTGCACTGCTTCTGGAAAGCCGCGCGTTCACCTCGACAATGCGATAGCCTGGCATTGCAGTGATCTAGTCTCCTTGCATGAGCCATGTCACGCAACATCGCAGCCAGGGCGCGACTTGAATTCGGATCAAGGGCATACTGGATGTTGGCCTCGCCAACGATACCGAAATGACGAATCACCTTGGTGCATGCAACCGAAATCCTGCTTGGCATCCTAGCTTGGGCTTGACTGGCTGACGCTTTATGGTAATCGTTTAACACTAAGAACATCACCTTGATCGCAACAGCCCGCAGTCTGCGATACTCATCGTTGGAAAGCGTCTGCGATGGCGCAACCACAATGGACTCGCCTGTGTGGACACCCATTGGATCCAGGTTCTCCATGTTACAGACAACCAAGCAGTTGTCCCGGGAATCACGCCTTGCGGTAGCAGCGGCAGCAGGGCTATCCATGCGCATGAACGGCATATGTCCCAGCATGTAGCTGCACTAAAAGACCGCGGCCAGTGCCGAGAGATAAGGCATTGGCACTACTTCGTATTCCAGCTCCTTCCATCCCTTCAAGCACTCGTCGATAATGACCTCGCACGCATGAGCAGTCAGCCTGTGGTCCGCACACATACTCACCCTGGCCCTTATGACGTCACATGCCGTTTCTAAGAAAGGAACATCAATTCAAAACTTCCTGCTTGGCATGTACGAGCATTGAAGCCGATCCCCGCCAAGGCAAAGCCAGATACCTACAAACCTCAGAAAATGCAGATAACAACTGAGCTTTGCAGACTTTGCTGGTATCTCAAATCAAGACAGTAACACCCCGAGAGGGGGGGCGGACGTACGAAGTATACCTGTACCGGTACGTACGTTACTACGATCATTTTTGCACTCGCACTCGATGCAGCATCGTAGTAACATTACCCAAACATGCAGGGAGGTATGCAGGTACCTCTGCAGGTACGTAGGCACGTATGTATGTATTTATGTATGTATGTATGTATGTATGTATGCCGGCATGTGACCAGTTTTTCTGCGGAGGGGGCGGTGTAAGACGTACGTATGCATGTCATACGTATACGGACAGGTACATCCGTACGGTCCGTACGTATACGGTAGCAGAGGTATGCAAGTGTTACATACGTACGTACGTACGTGTGTGTGTGTGTATGTATGTATGTATGTATGTATGTATGTATGTATGTATGTATGTATGTACGAATGTACGTATGTATGCATGTATGTAAAGTAAGGGTATGTATAAGTATGTCTAGGTATGCATCATGATCATGCATGTCTTTACGTAAGTACGTGCGCACGCACAAATGTCGGGGTGCAGGTAAGTAAAGATCTACATAGTGCAGATTAAATTTTTATGCGACGCAAGGGGCGGTACGTACGTCAGCAGACGCATGGCGTTATGTAAATATGTATTAAGTATGTATGTAAGTATATATGTATGTATGTATGTATGTATGTATGTATGTATATATGTATGTATGTATGTATGTATGTATGTATGTATGTATGTATGTATGCAGGTAGGTAGGTATGCAGGTAGGTAG